CCTCTGTCCCACAGCCCTTGGGCTGAGGAGCCCCCCAACACTTGTCCACTGCGATCATCCTCCATGAGAAGCCACGGGATGAGGTGCCTAGCTCTCTGATAGCAGGCTGCCCTGTCTCAAATTCAGCTCAGCCCCCGCTGGCCACACCTCTGGACAGTTGCTTCACCTCTGTCTCAGGCACTGCCCAACAGCCCTCCAGGATACAAAACTGCCCCGGGTGAGAAATGCTGGATCAACACAAGACAGAGGTTTGGCAAAGATGCTGACCCAGATGTGCCCTCTCTTGGTCCCCCCGCCCACATCCTGACTCCCTGTGAAACCTGCCAGCCGCTGGCTCTTGCTGCGTCATCCTGTCTTCCAGATGGACACCTTGACCCTTAAGTGTCTCAACTTCAGACCCACCTTCACCCGACGCCTCTGCAACCTCTGACCTTGCCCTCTGCCCCTTGATCCTCAGTCAGGAATCCTTCCAAAAAGCCACTGCTGAGCCAGGCATGGTAGCTCACACTTGTAATCCCAGGGCTCGGGAGGCTGAGACAGGAGGATTGTTTGGAGTTTGAAACCACCCTAGACTACAAAGTGAGCTCAAGGCCAGCCTGAACTGCATACAGAGACCCTGTCGCTCAGCGGCATAAGCACCTGCCTTGCAAGCAGGCAGTCGTGAGTTCGGTCCCCGGTACCGATAAAAATGAAAAAGACAAATGAAAAAGACAAAAAAAAAAAAAAAAAAAAAAAAAACCCCAAAAAATCCCCAAAAAACCTGCCCTCCCACAGCTCTGCCTCCCTCCAGGCTTAAGGGTAAACCACGCCCTTGCTCAACAGTGGCTCATCGCCCCACCACTCCCCTAAAACACCACTGGCCCTTCACAGGCAGCTCCTGCTGCATCTCCGCCCAGCCCCTGCAGGGCACCTCATTTCCACTGGATCCCAATCAAAGAGGTCTCAAAGCAGGAGGGCTGTGTAAGGCCCCCCCCAGCCTGGTCACAGGACCCTCTCTGGTCAGGCTCTTTGGTGACCACCATGCCCCACGAAAGGACACTGTCTGCTACCCGGTTGGCGGCATCATGAGACAGGACTGGCCTCTCCCTCCCGCGCCCTGGCACATTCCTCACCCCCCAGCCTCCCTCGGGACGCACACACATCGTCCTTCCCTGTCCACCTTGCTGGCTGCTTCTCCTTGGACTTCTTTTCCGAGGTCTCTGCTTCCTTCCCTCTCCTCCCACCATGTCCCCAGCCCTGTCCTTGTCCTCCTCTGCCTGATCTCCTCTCCACACTGCCAACTGGGCCAAAGTGCCGTTCTCTCTCACCTGGATGCCTTGACAGCTCCCACCTTGGCTTCTGTCTTTGCCCTCTAAAACCTTCCCCCCACATAGTGGCCAGAGCTGAGTGTGGCTCAAACCATATCTCACCTCTGCTCATGCTGAGTGGAAGCCAAGTCCCTACCATAGTCCACAAACCCTACACTAGGTGCCTGCCATACTTACCCACACCGGCTGGTCTTTGTACACTCATCTCATCCCATAACCCCTCTCACACTCAGCCACACTGCATCTTCCTGCCACAGGGCCTTTGCACAAACCGTTCCTGCTGCATGGATGCTTCATCTTCTAAGAATAAGAATGGCTTTCTCCTTCACATCCCTTCTTCAAATCTCAGTTCAAATGTCAGCTGCTTAATGAGGTTTTTGGGATCACCCTATTTCAAACTGCATTCCACTTCCCCTCACTACAGCCTAATGCTCCAAACCTGTTCTAATTGTTTCTTTGAAATTGTAGCGTGGCAAAGAAAAACTGGCAGTGTTATGCATTTTACTTCCCTAGCTTTTATGTTCTTTACGTTTATAAAGAATGTCAGCTCCACAAACACAGGATCTCCTCTCCACCACCGCCCAGCCATAACCAGGGGCTGGTGGAAGCACTAGGAGTCCTGAGCCCAGCAGAAGTGGACCTATTGCCAAGCGCTCAGGAGACCACGGTGGCAGTGGAAGGGCTGGTTGTGGAGTCCATCAGCCCGGATGTGGGAGGTGGACACCGAGCCTTGCGGGCCTCCTGTCCCTAACACGAAGACACTGCAAAGACACAGCTCAGTAATGCTGGTAGCACCCCAGTTAGTAAGAACAGACCCCGGCGTTTCTAATGTGCTTTATACACTTTTCCACGGAGTATTTCGTGCCCCTCTCACGCGAGTCCTCGATGCGAGTTGAGTCCCTTTTCACAGCTAGAGAAGCAAGTCGACCCCACGCCCGAGGGGTGGGCAGGGGGGCACGGCCAGGAAACTCGGGAGGGTCGGCTGGGCTCGGAGACTACATTTCCCAGGAGCGGCGGGGTAGGGCTCGCGGGCTTTAAAGGGCCTCGCGTTACAGGGGACGCCGCGGGGTGGCTAGGAGAGCCGCCGGCGGGGGGCCGCTGCTGGGCCCCGCTGGGACCAGGCCCCTCCCCAGCCTGTGGTATCCAGGATGCCAGGCAGACTGTGCTCATTTTGCTCCCCACCCGCGGCCTCGGCGCCCAACTCCCACAGAACCCCCTTTCCCCCCAAATCCCCGAACAGGCGGAGGAGAGGCGGGGGATCCGGTTGCCCCAGGTGGGGAAGGGACGACCACGCGCTGGAAGCCCTGCTATCCAGCCCCCCCGCACCGGCTCCAGTTCAGGAGAAAATTCCAGGTCGCCGAGATGGGCAGGAGAAGAGATATGATGAGCGCGACAGCTTGGAATGAAGGCTGGGGGTCGCAGGGAGCTGAGGCTTTCCTCCCTCTATGCTCCCCACTAAGCCCCCGCGGCCTCCACGGTAAAATGAGGGTGCGCAGGTAGAGATCATATTACCTGCCCCCAGGCGGGAGGAGGCGCAGGGGACCCGGAGCCTGGCCGAGACCAGTTTGCAAACTGTAATGTGCTGGGCGAATTAAAAAACAAAGTCAACACCGTGCCATCGGATTCCTGCAGTCCTCGTTCTCAGCCAGATGGTGGTGACACGTCTCTGGGGAGCGCAGGGTGGAAAACATCTGGGATATAGAGGCGGCTATGGGGAGGTGTGTTTCCCCCACCCAGGTCTTAATGGGAACCAGAAGAATCGTTTTTTGAAAAAAACCTAAACCAACCTAGCCCGGTATTCTTTTCATTCAGCTTCGGGAGCTAATTGATAACACAGAAGTAAGAACCTTGACCTTTTGAACTGACCTGGCCTTTAGGGCTTCATTTCCCACCTGTGTCACCCAGATAAGCCCAAGGACACGCATCTGACATTGGATCTTGGCCTGTCTTTCCCCTCCCCCAATCATTTGGATTAATCCATCCAAATGGTAGGGGTAGGGGAAGACCCACTAATTTGCCCTGGTCTCAGACTCCTAAGTGCAGTAGTAGCCCTCCTGACACCCCGTAACTACGACCCACCCCTCATCTAAACCTCCCTCCCCTCCCCCTCCTCTGCCGGACTCAGTGTCTGCAAACAGCTCCAGCTCCGGGCCTTAGCAGAGATGCTTTCTTCATTTTGACCGGGTACAAACCCTCACTCCCAACTATTGTTTAATTAAATAGCCTTATTGCGAAGGGAATGAAAGAGGATTTGTTAAGGGAGGGTGCCAGGGAGCCAGCGTCCCCCAGAATCTTAGTTCAGGGCCGCGGCCAAGTAGATCTGGCGCGTGAGTAGCAGGTCTGCTAGAGACAAGGGCTCCCAGAATGTCCGGGGGTCCCTTCCGGTATTCTCTTAGACCCTCGAGTCCCCCGGAGTGCCAGGACTCCCCACAGACCCTGGCACCCCTCACCGCTTTGTCTCTACCTGCCTAGCAGCACCAGGGAAGACCTGTGTATTTTAACAAAGGCACTGTATCTTCCCAGCAAAATGGCGGTGGTCCTGGCCACGGCTCCCTGCACAATTGCACCCTTTCCGAGGATTACTCACCACCCAAGGAACATGACCTACCCCCCCCCCACGGCTACCCCCAGCGCCCCGTCTTCCCCAGGTTTTTGAAGCACGCAGGGCCTCTCTTCACCGCAGGGGCCCCCAGGTGTGTCTCTGGTTGGAGACTCAGGGGCAGATTCTGCATTGTGGACTCGTCCCCACAATGCACAACACCTCCAAGGAACCTTGGGAGGGGGACGACCCCCACGCTGGGCACTGGGATGGGGAGACAGCGAGCTTTGCCTCACGCCCCTCAAAAGTCCCAAGCTGAGTAAAACACACAAATGCACTCCCGATTAGGATAGAGGAAAGACATGGGGGTCTCTGAGGACAGCAGGACACCGGGAAGATTCTCTTCCTGTCTCTCAGTAGACTCAGGCAGCATTGAGGGGTTCGGCCTCAGGAGGTAATCTCTAAGCAGAGGTCTGGGGGCGCACTGGGGGGAGAGACGCCCCAGGAGGGGGAAGGGACAAAGTTTGAAAGTACCCTTCCAAACTCTTCCTGGGAAAGTTTCCTTGGGGGCCCCGCGGACAGAGACGGGGTGGGGGTGCTGGGGGGCCAGTGGTGGGGTGACCCCTGAGAGGTGACCGGACCCTGGGGGAGCGACCCCTCCCCCCTGTCCCGGCTCGGCCCGGCTGGGAGTCGCCCGGCTCGGGGCCGCGTGTGTTAGTTGGGGCCGCTTTCCAGCCGCTCCGCCGGGTTAGGGGGCCGCGCAGCGGGCCAGGAGCCGGGCTCCTGATAGCCCCAGGGGAGAGCTTTGCTACGGGTGGTCTCGCGCCGCCGGGGTCCCCAGCCCCGCAGAGCTAGTGCCCCGCAAAGGGGAAATGTGCCGGCGCCCCAGCGGTCCTCGGCGCGGTTTGGGGCGCGTGGCGGGCGCGGGGGGCGGCGGCCGGGCCCGCGGGCTACCCGGCGGGGGAGCCCAGGGAGCCGAGCAGCGGCCCCGGGCGGCTCCTAGGAGCGGGAAGGCCCGGGCCGGGGGAAAAGGTCGGATTTGTGCGGCGGAAGAAACACAGATGGCGGCGGCGCGGCGCCATTCCGGGCCGGGAGCAGGCAGCCAGCAGCCCTGTCCTCACCGCGGTCCGCCCGCCGCCGCTAAATACCCGGATGCGCCGCCCGAGCGCCAGACGCGGAGCTGGGAAAGGGGAGGCGGAGGAGGCGGAGGCAGAGCGGGAGCCAGGCGGCGGGACCAGCGGCAGACCGGCGGGGCTGGGCCACGCAGAGCCGGCCCGCGAGCACGCCCGCGACCCGCGCCCGGGAGGAGAAGAGGCAGCGGCCCCGCGGCCGCATCCCCGACAGCCCGAGTCCCCGGACGGGGCTGGTAGCCCGGGGTCCGAGAGCAAGATCCCACCGACCAGGGCTGGCCCTTGGGAAGACGCTTTCCACAGCGGGACCAGGCAGGCCACCATGACCGAGAACTCCACGTCCACTCCTGCGGCCAAGCCCAAGCGGGCCAAGGCCTCCAAGAAGTCCACAGACCATCCCAAGTATTCGGACATGATCGTGGCTGCCATCCAGGCCGAGAAGAACCGCGCTGGCTCCTCGCGCCAGTCCATCCAGAAGTATGTCAAGAGCCACTACAAGGTGGGTGAGAACGCCGACTCCCAGATCAAGTTGTCCATCAAGCGCCTGGTGACCACCGGTGTCCTCAAGCAAACCAAAGGGGTGGGTGCCTCGGGCTCCTTCCGGCTGGCTAAGAGCGACGAGCCCAAGAGGGCAGTAGCCTTCAAGAAGACCAAGAAGGAGGTCAAGAAGGTGGCCACGCCAAAGAAGGCAGCCAAGCCCAAGAAGGCGGCCTCCAAAGCCCCAAGCAAGAAACCTAAAGCCACCCCGGTCAAGAAGGCCAAGAAGAAGCCGGCTGCCACACCCAAGAAAGCCAAAAAACCCAAGGTTGTCAAGGCCAAGCCAGTCAAGGCATCCAAGCCCAAGAAGGCCAAACCAGTGAAGCCCAAAGCCAAGTCCAGTGCCAAGAGGGCCGGCAAGAAGAAGTGACAAGGAACCTTTTTCTTGTGGACACTCCCCTCTCACTCTGTAAATACTTTCTTCTTTCTTGATTCTCTGCAACCTTTTGCCCCATTTATTCAGACTTTGTAAGAGACAGACTTTGGAGTCCTCAGAAACTGTGGACTAATTGCTTTTTCCTTCGCCAGTTGTGCAAGGACCGCCACAACAGATCTCATCTCTGTAACGATGAGGATGTACTGATGTTTTGTTTTGTTGATTCGCTATTAATCTTATGGGGTTCGGGATCTGGGTGGGTTGTGTGTTGTGTTACGGGACGGGTTTGCTATATGAAGGTAGATGGGGATAGAGGGAACAAGCACAGCAGTTTGTTCTCGCTAGAGGAGAGAGGGAGCCCAGGAATTATAAAGGTTTGTGGGAGTATCTTCAAGGTTTTAAGTTGGGCACCCCTGTGAGAATTTCCTAACTCTTAGAGGGGGCAGGAGCAGGGGATCCGAGGCTGGTTCCTTCTCTCCGGGTCAGTGTGCCTTCTGGCCTTCCTATTGTCTTAGGGAAGAAGAGGAGGGGACCAAGTGACAGCTGGTTGGAAGAACTAGCTTCTTCCAGTCAGCTAGGAACCAGCCAGGGGGGTTGGGCTGGGGGAGACGCGCCTGTGGCTTCGGTAGAGTCTCCAGGGGAGAGGAAACTTTGGGGGAAGGGTGGGGAGTCAGCCAAGTGCCTCAGTGTGCCCTGTTGAAACTTGGGTTTTTCCACACAATTCGATGGATTATTGTGTCTTTGGAGGACTCCCCCACCCCCCCCCCCGTATTTTGTTCCTCTAAAGACGTGGCTTTGCTTGGTCTGGTAGGGCTGCAGCCCCACCACCAGCTGCTTAAAAACCTCCCGACCTCTTCTCACTTCTGAGTCCTTTTTTTTAAGTAGTTGTAGTGGGGAAGGGGGAGGGGCAGGGAGTGGACGGTAAGACATACTGCAGTTGACTACGTAGTGCTAGAGCTAATCTGTGTGCATGTGTGTGTATTTGTATATATGCATACCTAGGGCTACTACTTAGGTTTTACATCGGGAGCTGGGAGAAAAAACCTGTACAGTTGTCTGTCTTTTATTTTTACTAGTAAAACTCGCGCACTTGCGCCACCCCACCCCCACCCCCGCCTTTTTTAAACAAGTGTTCCTTGTGCCGGGAGAAATTTGCTGTCGTAATTTTAAAACTTTAAAATAAAATCTGGAAAAAGAAAAAACAAGGGTGTATTTTTCCTCACTTTGGAGACTGGAGAATGCGGAGCAGTTGGGTGAGCAGTGGGGACATCTGGGACCGAGTTCACTCCTGAGGATGGGGGGGTGTCTGAGAGGCGGACAGGAATCTTAGGACTGAAACGTGCCTCTGCTGGCTTCTAGGCTCCTACTTTTGAGGTCCAGAGGGCACCCTCTTTGCCTCCAAGAAGTGGGCGTGTAGCTAGGGGGATGGGCACGAAGTGGGCTGGGACCCGACGCCGTCTCGGCTTCCCCTACGCGGACCTCTCGGTCTTCACTTAGCAAATCAATCCAGTAGCTCCCTCCGCCGAAACCAAGCCCCGCCCCTTAAGGGAGCCTCTCTGCCTCCGATTGGCTACCGGGGCCCGGCCCCCGGCCACGTGACGAGTCGTGCGCTGCGCGCAAGCCGGGCCTGTGGGCGCGCTCAGATGAGGTGCGGGATGTGGGCTGTCGGCGTCTGGCGCGCGACGCTCGCCCGGGCCCCCCACGGCCGCCGTGCGCAGTCGGCGCTGGCCCAGCTGCGCGGCATCCTCGAGGGGGAGCTGGAAGGGATCCGTGGGGCTGGCACCTGGAAGAGCGAGCGAGTGATTACGTCCCGTCAGGGGCCGTGTGTCCACGTGGACGGCGTCTCTGGAGGTAACTCCCCCTCCTGGCAGTCGCGGGACCTGGCTGCTACTCCAGGGGCCTACCCGGGCTTATGCCATAGTGGGGGTCCAGGCGGCCGGGTTCCAGGCGGCGAGGGCTGGGGTTGTACTTCCCAGACTCACACCTGGTTACAGCGGTTTCAACGGAGGGAAGTAATTTATTCGTGCGCACCATTTTGGTCCAGAGGGGAAAGCTAGACCGAAAAAGAGACATCCAGCTGCCTCCCCCGTTGCCGTCTCGAAGAAGAGAGCTAGGAAGGCAGAGCAAAACAAACCCTGCATTTTTTATCTTTTTGGGTTGGCTTGGTTTGGGGTTTTTTGGTACTGGGATTGAACTCACGACCTTGTGCTTACCAAGCAGGGGCTGGATACAGGATCGTCCTATACTTAGACCAGGCTGGCCTCGAGCTTAGCCTCTCAAAGTGCTACCAGGATCACAGATGTGGGCACCACACTTGGCTAACACCCACATTTCTTGAGCAGCTGCTTTATGAAAGTCTCTGTTAATTGCTGCACATGGACTTCTGCTAACCTCTAAAAGTAGGACAGATCCCTTTAGGTGGAAGCTGAGACCCCCAAGATGTGAAGTATTTGCTCAGAGTTCCCCAACCAGTGAGCTGTCATTACTGGCGCTGAAAGGTCAACTGACTGGCCAGAGGCCAATTTGGGGGCCAAAGTCTAAGATTTGAGGACTTTTGTGAAAGTGACAGACACATTGATTGGACACAGTGGGTGTCCTCCTTTCATTCTAGCCACTGACCAGGCTGCCCTGTCTTAGCCTCCAATGGGTGTTGTTATCAACAGGTGCCCAGAAAGGCATGGAGCCCTTGGTGCCGATATAGTCCCTGGTAAAATAGATAACAGGGAAATCCTGGCCTTCCCTGAGGGAGATGTGGAGCAGGCCCACGACCTAATTGCTTGTGAGTGTCCTCACCTGTCCTGTCAGAGACTGAACAGCTGTCTCTGATCCAGTGGTTTACGGCAAAGCCCTCAGAGAAACCAAGCAGCTGTCACATCTGAGTAGAGGCCCAGAGGGACGCAGTGTTGTTTATATAAGCAAAAGATGGGCCATCAGGAGACCCAAGTGTTCATGCTGAGTTCACCTTTCCCAGGCCGTGAACCTTCCCCCTCCTCGGCCTCAGTTTCCTGCTCAGGTCATTGTGTTCACTGTGGTCTTTCTGACTGCACTGTGGTTTCAGAGGCAACCACTTGGGCTGTGATTCCTGCTGTGTGTCCAGGCAGCAAAGTAAACCTTGGACCACCGGGCACCTGACCCAGCCCTGTTCTCTTACTCTGGAGGAAACCCAGGCTGAGATGAGGGGTGGGTGGTGATCTTCAGGAACAGGAATAATCTGCAAGGAAGGGATAGGTTCCTTCTTTGGTAAAAGAAGCTAGAGTGTAAGCTGCTTGAAGCCTGGTTGGTGATTCCAGTATTTGGGAACCTGATGCAGGGGGATTGAGAGTGGCTAGCCCAGGCTACATGAGACTGTCTCAAAAAACCAAAAATAAATAAATCTTCTCATCCTGCAAGTCACAGCCCTGGAGAGACTCCTGTCCTCAACCTGCCTCTTGCGTGGCTTTTGGATTCAGAGCCTCCTAGTGGCCCCTACCCTGGCCTCAGTCCCATACTGTATCATCTGGGGTGTTGTGGAGCTGTTCACATCCAGTTCCTCTCTTGACCAATTCTCTGGGCCTGGCACTGTCCCCTTCCAGGCCCTTCCTTACCCTGTCTGAGCGCCTCCTGCGTCTCCTCTTTCCACCTCAGGAATCCTTAACTTCTGTGCCAACAACTACCTGGGCCTAAGCAGCCACCCTGAGGTGATCCAGGCAGGCCTCCAGGCTCTGCAGGAGTTCGGAGCTGGCCTCAGCTCGGTCCGCTTCATCTGTGGGACCCAGGTACATAGTGGGGTGGGGCATGGTTGACCCCAGCTGGCTCTGCAAATCCCAGGGCTCAGCGTTGAAGTCCACTGTTAGCCCCAGAGCTGCCGGCTAGAGAGCCTGGGTGCTTATTTTGCAAGAGAAGCCTTGGATAAGGCTTTCTTTGTTCATTTATTATTCCTTTCTTTGTTTCATTTATTAGTTTTGCCTTTCTTTGTTTCATTTATTTATTTCTGTATTTATTTATTTTGCTTTGTTGTAATAGGGATTGAACCCATGGCTTTTAAACTGAACTACATGCCCAGCTATTTTTTTAAAGACGGGTCTCATTAAAATTACTACATTAGGGCCAGGGATTTAGCTCAGTGGAACATGCTGTCATGAGTTTGATTCCTGATACCAAAAAAGAAAAGAAAAGTCTCTACATTTCCCAGGTAGAGGCAATGCTACCTCAGAACCTGTACCTCCACAACAGTGGAATTACAGGTGTGTGTCGCGATGCTGGACTGAGAAACTATGTTTTTGAGCATCAGTTTCCCCACTGCAGAAGAGTCCTCTTGCCTGTCCTGCTGAAGGAGAACAGAAGGCAGGTTTTGAGGGTGAGCGTCCTGGTGGTATTCTGCCTTGGCTTGGTTTTCAGTGCTGCTGTTTACTGGCTCTGTCACTATAGGGAGGTATCTTATCCTCTCTGTCACTTGAACCTTTTGTTGTGGAGAGGGGACAACAGTAGATAATAATAGGATTGTTACAAATTAAAGGAGTAGCAAACTGCACAGAGTGATATAGGCCTGCGATCCCAGCACTCTGGGAGACTGAAGCAGGAAGATTGCAAATTGAAGCCCCACCTGGGTAATTTGGGCAATTTAAAGGGCCGGTGCCAGGAATGATGGTGCATAGCTGTAACTCCAGCACTCTGGAGGCTGAGGCAGGAGGATCACTTGAGTTCAAGGCCACCCTGGGCTACATAGGAAGAGCCTATGTCAAAAAAGGGCTGGGGATGTAGCTTAGTGCAAAGGCCTTATGCTTATTCCCAACACTACAGGGTAAAAACAAAGGATTTATAAAAATGCTTAGAACAGGGGCTGGGGATTTAGCTCAGCGGCATAAGTGCCTGCCTTGCAAGCAGGCAGTCGTGAGTTCGATCCCCAGTACCGGTAAAAACGAAAAAGGCAAAAAAAAAAAAAAATGCTTAGAACAGTACCTGGTACACAGAAGCACTTAATAAATGGTGGCTATTATTTATTTTGTCAATGTTACAAAAACAAATTAATATAAACATTAAACTTCTATAATACTATGTGCCAGTTACTTTTTTTTGTTTGTTTGTTGCTGGGAATTGAACTCATGACCACTTACCAGGCAGCTGCTTATGCCACTGAGCTAAATCCTAGTTACTTTTGAGAAGGTTACAAGGATTGACTCATGAATCCTCCTGCTTTACCAGTGTTGCTGACATAAGAAGGGATCGGAGGTTTAGCTCAGTGGTGTAAGCACCTGCCTGGCAAGCTCCAGGTCGTTTGATCCCCAGTACCAAAAAAAAGCTATTGACATGAGAATCTCGAGGCCCAGAGAGGTTAATGACTTGCCCAGAAGGTCACAGTGCATCATGGTGGGATTTGAACCCAGGTTGCCAAGGGCCCCCGCTCTTAACTGTCTGTAGTATATTACATGTTCTGAAAGATGAGGCTGAAATGAATATCAGAAGCAGAACTCCTGTCTCCCATCCAGGTACATCCCAGAATATCCTTGGCTAGACTAAGTGGCTTTTTTTTTTTATACTTAAAATCAAACTCATGACCTTGAGCTTGCATGGCAGCCGCTTACACTGCTGAGCTCTATCCCCAGCCCTAAGTGGCCTTTGAACATAAGTAAGCCCAAATGCTTAGCTAGGTGTAGTGGCACACACCTGTAATCCCAGCACCCAGGAGGCTGAGGAAATATGACTGCCACAATTTCAGGGGCAGTCTGGGCTATTTAATGAGTTCGAGGCTGACCTGAACTATATATAGTGAGATCATTTCTCAAAACCAAAGAGACCCAAATGAGTACAGAGCCTATGAAATCCTCTTCTTTGCCATAAAGCAACCCAAAACACCATCTGGTGTTAGGCACATCTTGCTTGACATGAGCACCCATAGTTCCACCACTGGACAGATGTCTGCTACAAAACCAGGATCCACCTGGGAAGGGAACCCTAGCAAAGCTCCAGCCTCTCAGTAGAGCCACGTGCCATGTTCCTGCTGGCTCCGTGGTGACCTGTGTGGTTCAAAAGGAAGGGCGAGGCTGAGGCTGCAGGCCTCCTAGCCAGGGTCTCTGTGGCTCCTCCAGGCCTCTGTCCTCTAGAGCTTGTTCCCTGCAGCCCTCCGGGCTCTCACAGCTCCTGTCTCTGTAGAGTATCCATAAGAATCTGGAAGCCAAGATTGCCCGATTCCACCAGCGGGAGGATGCCATCCTCTATCCCAGCTGCTTTGATGCCAATTCTGGCCTCTTTGAGGTATGTGGAGCTGTGGGTGGGAGTTGGTGTTGCTGTGGACGGCTTGTGGGTGGGCACTCAGCAGACCTACTAGGATGCCTTGGCCATGCCCGGTGGCTTGCAAGGAGCCCCTTCTCCCGAGCATTTTGGAGGTAACCTGTGCCAGCTACGAGGCTGAGAGTGCAGGACCCTCTCCTCCCTTAACTTTCTCTTCTGCCCTCTGCAAAATAGAGCCAGGGCAACTCAGATGGAGTGGAGGACACCTTGCCTCCCTGCCCCAGGAATGCCCTGGCTACCTGTGAAATCGAAACTCAGGAGTTAATGGGGAAGGCAAACCGGAAGGTGACTGGGTAGCCACTCTACCGAGGTTGCTCCCTCCAGGCTCTGCTGACCCCTGAGGACGCGGTCCTGTCAGATGAGCTGAACCACGCCTCCATCATCGATGGCATCCGGCTGTGCAAGGCCCACAAGTATCGATATCGCCACCTGGACATGGGCGACCTAGAAGCCAAGCTGCAGGAGGCCCAGGTGGGTGAGGCACAGGTCTGGGGGCGAGCAGTGGGCTCCCCTCAGCCTCCCCTGCTGAGGAAATGAGGCTTGGAGAGCCCCTGCCCTCACTCAGACCGAGAGTGGAACTCAAATCCTCTGACACCCTCCCAGCCCCACCACAAGGCTTTGTTTCCCTGCAACTGCCACCTGAGGGCAGCCAATGCCTTAGGAGTGCAGGCCCTGGGCAGAGGGGGCTGTGCAGCACAGAGGCTACTCAGTGTGGCCCAGCTCATGACCACACCACCTGCCACCTGCTCATCTTTCCTGCAGAAGCATCGATTGCGCCTGGTGGCCACTGACGGGGCCTTTTCCATGGATGGCGACATTGCACCCCTGCAGGAGATCTGCCGCCTCGCCTCTCAATATGGTGCCCTGGTCTTTGTGGATGAATGCCATGCCACCGGCTTCCTGGGGCCCACAGGACGGTGGGAGCATATCCTACCTGAGACCTAGGTGGGGCTCCCGAGGGTCAGGGAAGCCAGCGGGCTGGTGGCATCAATGGCTGCTTCCCTTGCAGGGGCACGGATGAGTTGCTAGGCGTGATGGACCAAGTCACCATCATCAATTCCACGCTGGGGAAGGCACTGGGTGGAGCAGCAGGTACCTACAGGGTTGTGCCCCGGGTCCCCTTATGTCTGGGCAGGGCAGACTCGGGGCCCATAGTCTCAGGGGGGCTCTAGGCCAGGCACTCACCACCCGCTTCCCTACTCACAGGGGGCTACACGACGGGGCCTGCGCTGCTGGTGTCCCTGCTGCGGCAGCGCTCCCGGCCCTACCTCTTCTCCAACAGCCTGCCCCCTGCCGTCGCGGGCAGCGCCTCCAAGGCTCTGGACTTGCTCATGGAGAGCAGCACCCTAGTCCAATCCATGGCAGCCAAGACCCAGCGGTGCGGTTCAGAGCAGGGCCTAGACAGGCTGGGGGCACAGCGGTGGCCTGCCCAGGTCCACAGATAGCGCCACATCTGTGGGGCTGGCCACCTCCTGTTTCCTGTCTCTGCCTCTTCCCTCTGCTTCCTGTGCCCCACTTACACTCTCTGTGCTGCCTCCCCCTGCCTGCTGTCTCCCCATCCTTATTACGTCCTCTTGGAGATCTGGGCATAGATCCTGGGCCATGTGTCCTTGAGGGGTTGGTATGGGTGCTCCGTGGCCCCCCAGCTACCCTTGTCACCCCGCTGTGTCCCCCAGATTCCGTACTAAGATGGAGGCTGCCGGCTTCACCATCTCAGGAGCCGATCACCCCATCTGCCCTGTGATGCTGGGTGATGCCCAGCTGGCCACTCTCATGGCGGATGACATGCTAAAGAGAGGTACGAGGATGCACCTGCTTAACCTCCTAAAAATTTAAAAACAGGCTGGGCATAGTGCACCCCTGTAATCCTACCACTGGGGAAGGGGCCCTGAGACAGGATGACCACCGTGAGTTTGAGGCCAGGCTGCACTGTATAGTGAGACCCTGCCTCAAGATAAATAAGTAACGGCCTGGGGATATAGCTCAGCGCACAGTGTATGCCTGGCAAGTGGGAGGTTGAGTTCAATCCCTGATTCCGAAAACTAGCTGGGGCTGGGGATTTAGCTCAGTGACCAAAGCACTTGCCTGGTAAGCATCAGGTTGTGAGTTCAATCCCCCGTACTAAAAATAAATACTAGATGTGAGGAAACTGGAATTAAAGGACTGGGGGTCCGAAGAGCAAAAGGGGAACCCAGAAGACGGTGATGTCCCCTCTTATCCCCATCCTGCCCTCTGTGGGTCTCGGGAAAGTAGTCCCATATGTCATCCCTCCAAATTATGTCTGGGTCTGGCGTGCCCTTCCTGTCTGTCTTCCCAGGCATCTTTGTCATCGGGTTCAGCTACCCAGTGGTCCCCAAAGGCAAGGCACGAATCCGGGTGCAGATCTCAGCCGTGCACAGTGAAGAAGATATTGACCGCTGTGTGGAGGCCTTTGTAGAGGTGGCGCGGCTGCACGGAGCACTGCCCTGAGCTCTGTGGGGACAGCAGAACCAAGAAGCCCCCTGCCCCAGGGGTTGGGGGGGGAGGGGGCTCTGATCAGGCCAAGACCCCTGACCCAGCGTCTTAGGGCGGGGCCGCAAGAGGCCTGTGCTTGTGGCCATGGGTGAAAAAACAGCGTGGATACTGGCAGGGACGTTTGGCCCTGCTTTATTCTCAGGCCCAGTCCTGTGGCCAGGAATGGGACTGAGGTCCGACTCGTGCTTGAGAGCTACAGATTGTATCGTGTGTTGTGCTGTGCATGTGTTCGTCTGTCTGCCCCGTTTCCTTTCTGACATAGAGGCTGTTGTTACACTCAGTCCCTTGTATCTCGCTCATTCCAAGTTCTGCCATCTGATGAGGCCGCCAGGGGGCGTAGAGAGCTCGGCTGCTGCAGCTGGCGCCTCCTGCCTCACCCCCTCCATTGGGGCGGGTGCCCGACCGAGGTGTTTGCGCAGCGGCTCCTGCTCCCAAGGCTGAAGGACCGCCTGACTTGCTATTGCCAAGGCTCCTCCGGTGTTGGAGGTGCCAGCCTCCTTCCCACAGTCGCTGCCCGTGGTCCTCTGGCCTTTGGGAGGAGAAGGTCTGCATTGCTCAGCTTAAGTGCATGGGTGGGGGTGGGTTCTGAGTCAGTGTGGCACCTCCGGCCTCAGCATGGCGCGGCCTTGGAAAGCTCATGGTTTGCCCGAAGTAGGACAGGATAACAAGGTCCTTCGTGGAGCACAGAAACTGGGCCAAGGCCCAGGCACCAACTCCTCTGCCAGCGTTTGCGTGGATGGTCTGGGTTAGCCCTGGCCCGAACCAGGAGGGCCTTCAAGGAGGGTTCTGGGAATCTTGGCCCTTGAGCTCAAGGCTAGGGTCCAGGAGCTCTTGGTGCCAGAAAGGACAGAGCCTGGTGGGTGCAACTGTGGCCACATCGTGGCCAGGCCCCCAGGACACAGATGGCAGCCAGGATACTGTGCTTGGCTCTTCCCAGGCCGCTGCTGGTGTGCGCCTGTCTGCACCTTGCTTCCCCCAGCAATGCAGAGAGCTCCAGGACCTCTAGCAGCTGTCACGTTCCTGGTCACCTCTGGGCTCAGCATGCCCAGCAGACTGGCATGGGTCCACCAACACACAGCTCCACTGCCATCCAGGAGCTGCAGAAAGCATCACACAGGCACAGCAGCCATTCCAGGCACACGTGCCTCTGCTCACCAGCTGTCGCAACAAGGTGCACAGGACCCGAGCACCTGCTTCACCTTAGCTGTTCAACCTGTGTCCTGTGGAGCTGAAAGCTCCCGGAACTGCTCCCAGAGAGGTGGTCCTGGCCCCTGTGATGGGCACCAGCTTCAAGCCTGGGCCATCAGGGACAGCAGCAGGAGCAAGGGAAGACCAGGGACGGTGCCCCTATTGCCTGCCCAGCATGGCATGTGCGGAGTCACCTCTCCTCCCTGGGCCTCACCTTGGTGTCTCGTCAGCTTGGCCCTGCACTTCCTTGTGGGGGGCTTTGCCCTGGAACAGTTGAGCCCAACCCCAGGGGCAGGGATGTGGAGATGCTGTCCTGAACCTCGTTTGTCAGGGGGCTGACATGGACGATCCTGGGGTTCAGGCATACACAGGGACCAGGCTTCTGGGGTCTAAGGGTGCCTTAGTAACCTGATCCACGCCACTGCCCTAGGTCTAGAGTCCCACAATTCCCTTGTCCAGGGATCTTGAGATGCCACAATTGTAATGATCCTGAATTCAGGTTTAGAGAATCAAGGTCTGATTCCCAGTAATTCTCTATGAGTTATTTCCAAAAATGTTGGGGATTTGCTGCATCTGTGGTGTAAGGCAGTCAGCCCCTGGACACAGCTCGGCCTGGAGCTGCTGGTCCTGCAGGGTCTTCCTCCAGCCTGGGGCACCCTGCTGCTCCGCCAGTGCCCCTCCGCATTTCTCCTCTCAGATGACCTCTGGATGGCCCAGCACCCCTTGCTTCTAGCTCTGTCCCTAACTCACCAGACTGCCTTGAGTCTTTACTCCCGTTCCAGCGTACAACAGCTTCCTGGTTGCTAAGTCCCATGCACTGTGCTCCCAGGGCTTCAGTCCTCTACCTTCTGGAAGCCTTTGTCCATGCACCACTGCTCCAAGGCTTTGGGCCAGAACAGTCACATAGCCACTCACCAAGACCTGTTAATGTTTTGGCATTTGCCTGGACAAGAGATTCCTTACAGGTCACTCTTTCAATAAGTCTCCCTCAATCCGTTCTTTTTGCCCTAGGCCATAACTTTTTTTTTTCTTTTTCTTTTTTTTTTTTTAGGCAGGGTTTCACTATGGTTCAGGCTAGCCTTGAGCTCACTTTGTAGCCTAGGCTGTTCAAACTTGTGGCAATCCTTGTGCCTCAGCCTCCCAAGTGCTGGCATTACAGGCATGCACCATCACACCTAGCTCATAATAAAATGTGCAGGGCTGGGGATTATAGCTCAGGGGCACAGCGCCTGCTTAACTGCAAGATCGTAAGTTTGATCCCTGGTACAAAAAAAAGTGCAGCTCATATCCCCATGTCACTAGCTCTCTGTTTCTTAGGCTAAGGGGAGGCTAAGACAGGTTCATAACCCATCAGGTTTCCTGATGGATCAACCATTTGGAACAAGCTAGGGAAGGAGATGGATCCAGGGGGATCACAGGGCCCTGAGGAGGGCACACTACCTGAAGTCTACAGAAAGGGGAAATTCCTTTGAAGTTCAGATTGGAGCCCTGCTGGGAGCAGAGAGGGGAGGGGGAAAGGTAGAGTTATGGGCAGGGCCACAGGGAGACGGGAGTGCCAGGAATGGGCGAGGTACCGGGCATGCAGGGGTTAACCGCAAACCCCGGCTCGGCGAGTGAGATCAATGGGTTACTCCCCGTGCAAAGGCGAGTGGAAAGCGCAGGAGGCAGCAGCGACGCAGAGGCAGAGAAGAGCCCAGCAGAAGAGCATGCCACCCGGGGGAAATCACGGACTGAGGTGGCTGGAGGCTGCTCTGGAAGGAGTGCCCAAGTGCGCCCCAGCAGACGAGGGGCAGAGAGGAGGGGCGAAGAGGAAGAGGTAGGAGGCAGATACAACCTGCAGGGTACCACCAAAGGGCAGGCGCTGGGCCAGGAGGCACCCCAACCTGGCTGTTCCACCCAAGACCAAGCAGCTGCTGCTCAGTGCCCAGGACTGAGGTGGGTGGTGCCTAGCCTGGGCTTTGGGGCCTGCTGGGTGCTGGGTGGGGGCAGACACTGCCCACCTTCCCTCCTCTGTGCCCCACTCCTATCCCTCCCAGCTCTGTTCCCAGGTGAGTAGAGGAGCTACAGGTGGTGGGCAATGCTGGGCTGAGTGGGCTGAGAATGGACACACGTGTATGTGACACCTCCAGTTAGCGCGCAGTCAGGATTTCAGGTCTCCAGCAACCCCCAACCAGTCACCCAAGGCGTCCTATTATCCACTCATGTTCCCTCCTTGGGCCCCAATTTTCAATGTGCAAAAGCCAGCAGTGACCTATCTGGTGTGCCTAGCTTGGTCATGGTGGGGATACCATGAGACTGGACTCTCCAGTGACTTGGGAATGTCACCCATGTCTTACTAAGGCTACAGCTTGCAGCCAGATCTCATGTCGAATGGTCTCCCCTAAGAGTCTCCACCAGCTACTGTGCTGCCGCAGCCCCTCCCCCATCTTCATGTCTTCATCTTGTCTCTGTCCCCAGCTGCCTCTTGAGTTGATATCTATTCATGACCCAGAGTCAGTTTCCAGCCCAGGACATCTGGCCAAACCAGGGTAGGGACCTGGGTCCTGGGCCAAATGACCAGAGCCCAGGCTCCTGCCTGAGGACTCCAGCTTCTCTTCCCCAGGTGCCGTCTGATGGGGAGATGGCCGATGCTCAGAACATTTCACTGGACAGCCCAGGGAGTGTGGGGGCTGTGGCAGTGCCTGTGGTCTTTGCCCTCATCTTCCTGCTGGGCACAGTGGGCAATGGGCTGGTGCTGGCGGTGCTGCTTCAGCCTGGCCCAAGTGCCTGGCAGGAGCCAGGCAGCACCACGGACCTGTTCATCCTCAACCTGGCAGTGGCCGACCTCTGCTTCCTCCTGTGCTGCGTGCCCTTCCAGGCCGCCATCTACACGCTGGATGCCTGGCTCTTCGGGGCCCTTGTCTGCAAGGCCGTGCACCTGCTTATCTACCTCACCATGTACGCCAGCAGCTTCACGCTGGCTGCCGTCTCAGTGGACAGGTGCTCTGGGCGGGGTTGGGGAGGGAACTTTGTCACATCCCCCAGGAAGGCAGGTGGGAGACAGGGGAGGAAAGCTCTCTGGGCCCCGCAGGGCATGCTTGTGGGACCATCCTGCCCTCCCCCACCTCCACCGTCAGATTCCAGGGGTCACCTCTGTGTTCCACGTCACCCCACAGCCTGGCACATAGTAGGTGCTCTGTAAGTATGAAAAGAATGCCAAAAGAAACGCACAACGCATTCATGAGATATTTTATAACTGCTCCTATCTGATCTAGGCTGTGCTCACACCTGGTTCCATGGCTTGAAACATGGTGTCCGATCCAGGCTCACTCCCCAGCTGATCACTGGGGAAAGTCGCTTTCCTCTGTGCCTCGCTTGGCTCCCACGGGAAAGGCTGCGGTGCACAACATCTAACAGCCATTCGGCCCTTGCTGGGTGCCAGGCGCTACCCAGTGCTCACCGCTTGCCTACACCCTGAAGCCTCACAACCACCCCCTACTGTTCAGAAGCGGAGATCCAGGTCCCGTCGGGGACCGGGTCCTCTGCGAGCGGTGGGGATGCGCGGCGGCCACCGCCCGCCCTCACCCGTGCCCGCCTCTGCCCCGCAGGTACCTGGCCGTGCGGCACCCACTGCGCTCCCGTGCCCTGCGCACCCCGCGCAACGCGCGCGCTGCCGTGGGCCTGGTGTGGCTGCTGGCGGCGCTCTTCTCGGCGCCCTACCTCAGCTACTACGGCACGGTGCGCTACGGCGCGCTGGAGCTCTGCGTGCCCGCCTGGGAGGACGCGCGCCGCCGCGCCCTCGACGTGGCCACCTTCGCGGCGGGCTACCTGCTGCCCGTGGCCGTGGTGAGCCTGGCCTACGGGCGCACGCTGCACTTCCTGTGGGCCGCCGTGGGCCCCGCGGGCGCGGCGGCCGAGGCGAGGCGACGGGCCACCGGCCGGGCGGGGCGCGCCATGCTGGCGGTGGCCGCGCTCTACGCCCTCTGCTGGGGCCCGCACCACGCGCTCATCCTCTGCTTCTGGTACGGCCGCTTCGCCTTCAGCCCCGCCACCTACGCCTGCCGCCTGGCCTCGCACTGCCTCGCCTACGCCAACTCCTGCCTCAACCCGCTCGTCTACGCGCTCGCCTCGCGCCACTTCCGCGCGCGCTTCCGCCGCCTGTGGCCCTGCGGTCGCCGCCGCCGCCACCGCTCGCGCTGCCCGGCCGGTACCCGCCGCGCGCTCCGCCGCGTCCGCCCAGCTTCCTCCAGCTCAGCTGGCCGCCCCGGGGACGCTGGGCCTCGAGGGGCGCTGCCAGCAGGCGGCGCCTGGGGCGCAGAGCCCAGGGGGGAGCTCGCTCCCCGCGGAGGGGCGCCAAGAGCCCTGCCTGCCTCGGGACCTGAATAAATTATGCCCTTCTGGACTCTGCTGTGTGCTTCGTCTATGAGTTCGCTTCCCCGCGGACAGACGCCACTGTGCCAGGGGCCCGGGCCATGGCAGGAGCCCTCGATAAGAGCGGCTAGAGGGCAGCCTGCCTGGTCCAAGCTCTAACCTAACAGATCCCCCTGGGAAGCAGTGAAAAGGGTGCATCCAGCTGGGCGTGGTGCCCCAGGCATGCAGCTCCAGCTGTCCCCAAAGCCAGCCTGGCACAGAGCAGCCTTCTGCCTGTCCACCTGGAGGGCACCTTTCAGGGCCTGCTTCCTCCACCACCTGTTACCAGGCCCTTTCTTGGTCCTAAGCCCTGGCCAATGTGATTTAATACTAGCAACTAATCGTACACATTCACCAAACTCTGTGTACGGGGTTAATATCAAGGTAGCTTTGCAAGAGAGCTAGTTCACCAGCGTTTCACAATGTAGAAATCAAGGACCAGCGGGGCTCAGTGATTTGTCCAAGATAAGATCAGTGTTGTAGAGGTTGGACTTGAACCCATGACCCTTTTATTTACACAGTGGCCTTTCTCTTCCACTTCTGGGCCTCTTCTTTGTTTCCACCATTTCTGTAGTTTTTCGTTATTCTTCCTGCTAAACTTTTTCAAGCCTGCAGCTCCCCAGCACCCCACACCTCAGTGTGTTTCCTTCCCTGTCCATAAGGAAGTTCTGGGTGGCTTCCAGGCTCTGGGGCCAGCTAGGCTTCCCTGGGCATCTAGTGTTGTGTCCACCTCCAGGTCCAAACACCTTGTATTGTTCCTTCAGCCTTGGTGCTCCTGGTCAGGTCCCAGATAGCCTCCCCTGTGCTCCGGTTGCCCTATGGTCCCCTCTCTCCCTACCCCGGTCACGGCTGGGAAAGTCTGTGGCTGTGGAAACCACTAATTAACCAATAAATCAGTCTCGATGGTTTCTGAGCTGCACACCTTCCTTCCCTTGCCTCACGTCAATAATGTTTATTAGCTTTGGGGCTGAGGCCCGAGACCCTGTGGTCTCCATGTCTTCTCCAGGTAGCTCCCAGTGCTGGGGCATCCTTGACACTGCCAGCCGCCTGCCACAGCCCAGGGGTCAGAGTGGCAGCAGGAGGCTCAGACCAGATGGCGGAGCAAGGGCTTTCAGGGCAGGGCACAGGCTCTGAGCCTGGTGTTTCCCCCCATGCACCCACCAAGGGTCCCTCGGCTGACTCAGGACACAGCAGTGGGAGTGTTTCTTGAAGACAGGGTGCGATGCTGCCCTCCAGTCACCCAGTGTACTCTTCTGTGCTTCCCTCAGCTTGGGAGGACTAGGGACAGTAGCTCCATTTTCAGATGGGAAATGAGGCTCCGAGGTAGGGTCCGAGGCCAGAGTTCAGTGGCAAATGAGTGGCAGGGCTGGGGTCCATGCAGCCCAAGGGACAGCTCAGGGAGGGCCCAGCAGCACCAAGACAGCGTTCATTGCATGGCAGATAGCGAATGTGGAACAGAATGTCGCTGGGCTGGCTCAGGCTGTGGGTCAGTCCAGCCCCCGACCCAGGCATGGACAGGAGACCCAACTCAGAAGGGCCTCTTCCCTAGGATGGCTGGCAGACAAGGTCCCCCCAGCTGAGGAGTCACACAGCCAGTGTTGGACCCACGTGAAATATTCCACAGTGGCTTCTGACACACTGAGGCCCAGCATAGTTACCCAGAGGCCCTAATCAATGGGAGACAGTATAGCCTGGCACACCGTAGGCACACAGGACATCAGATCCAGGTGTCAGTGTCAGGGAAGGAAAGACTCAGCCTTGCCCTTCTCCTTTATCCTCAAACCAGGTGCGAGCCTGACTAAGCCTTCAGGGAACACTCAGTCCACTGGACCCAGGCACTGCCGCCATAGGAAGGGTGGGATCCAAAAGGGCACAGCCGGGAAGCTCCTGCCTTTGTGGGCAATCCGAGCAGGAACATTTAACGTCCTTTCCCAGAGAAAGGCGGGCCCCAGATGGACAGGAGCAGTAAGTGGGCTTGTGCACCTAGGGCAGAGTGGGCTGGGCATGGGAGGCCACCAGGGTGGGTCCCATCATGGGTGCAGCACGGCGTACCCTGGGCTGCTGTGTGGAGGCTGGGAGCAGAGGAGACCAGGAAGAGGCTGCTGTCAGCTCCAGGGAGGAAAACCAGCCAGGAGGCTGCAGCAGAGCTGGGAAAACGCTTTCTTTTGCCACAGGCGTGCAGGAAAATTGATGCCAGCCACTGGGCTTGGGCTCGGCTCCTGAGGCCCCTGGCTTTGCTTCAGGGGCCTAATGAAATGCTGGAAGAGCAGATGGTCCTAATAATTTGGTTAGAAGAGAGTGCTTGTCCCGCAGAGCCCAAGGCAGGCAATTAGGGTGGCAGTAAAGGTTGAATAAGCCCTGGGTCCAAGGCCCCTGCCAGGTCACAGCTGGGGCTGGGAAAGCCTGGAGGCTGGGATAGAGTCCTGCTTAGCTGGAGGGAGGTTTGGATTCTGCCTCGCCCTCCTACCGTGCAAATCTCTTAGGCCTGAGTGCCGTCTATGTACAGGGCTCCTCTGGAGGCAAGAAAGACAGAATCAGGGTGACTGCAGAACCTAAGAACTCTAAGCCCAGCAGGAGCCATCAGGAAGGACTTCCTGGAGGAGCCAGGGCCTGAGCCCAGCCCTGAAGTGGGATTTGCCAGGGCAGATGGGGAAGGGAAAAAGGGCTGCTTGGCATCAGAGCACAAAACTCTGCAGTGAGCTGAGCTAGGGAAAGGACTAATTCTGCATCAGAGACAGGAGCTGGCTTCATCCTGAAGGTGATAAGAAGCCACTAGAACCTTGATAGGATTTGGGAAACTCTCTGGCTGCCAGAGCTGGCTGTATGGGGTAGAAGCAGAGAGAGAGACCGGCAGGGAGATCTGGCAGGAGGCTGGGTGAGCACGGATAGATGGAGGAGCATAGAGGGGAGACATGAGCAGGTGGGTCAGTGCTTGGGGGGCAGGATGGTCAGGACTGGTAATGCTGGGGGCAAGGAGGAGAGAGGGGTCCCAGCTGACAGTGACAGCCAAGACTTGGCTTGGGCCACTGTGGGCAAGGCCTGGAGGAGAGGATGAGCTGGCTTGGGACTTGCAGAGATCCAGGGCCCTGGGTGACATGGAGGGGGTATCCTCGGGTGGTGGTGTGCTGAGTACCTGCTATGTTTTAGACCTTGTGCTTAGTCCTTATGTCGTCTGCTTTAGAATTTGTAGAGAAACTGAGGCTCAGAAAGATGAAGGAACATGTCCAAGATCAGAGGGGCAGGCTGAAACAGATTTATTTTGTTTTGTTTTTTCTGGTACTGGAGATTGAGTCCAGAACCTTCACACTGAGCTACAGCCCCAGGCCCCCCACCCCCACCCTTTTTTTGTAAATTTGAGATAGGATCTCAGTTGGTAAATTCCCCAGGCAGGGCTCATACCTGCAATCCTCCTGCATCTGCCTCCCTGAGTGCTGAGATTAAGAGCTGGGGTTTATCCCCTGGTTTTTTTTTTTTTTTGTCTTTTTCATTTTTATCGGTACCAGGGATCGAACTCACGACTGCCTGCTTGCAAGGCAGGCGCTTATGCCGCTGAGCTAAATCCCCAGCCCCCTATCCCCTGGATGTTCAACTTGGGTTCTGTGACCTTTGGGTAAGCAATGGAGGCAGAGTCCATGTGCCGACAGTGTTGGGGTTGCATGCGTCTGGGCCATAGGAGGGCGGGAAAGCTGAGGGCCCTGGCACAGCCTTGACAACCAACACCTTCCGTGCCCGAGGCTGGAAGGAACATTGTCTGTCGCTCCGAGGCGTGGACTTCAGGAAATAAACTCCAATTAACCATCTGAGGTTTCCTGTTAATGAACATCGGTTCCCTGGCCCTGTTGTGCCCTCATTTGTGAGCTGCAGGCTGTAAGCAAGATGGCTGGAAGCCAGAAGGCCCGGCTGAGCGAGCGAGGGGAAATTGTTTCTGGCTTAAGAGGACCCAACTGACTGGCTGAGGCAGCTGCTTGATGCCAGGTCCAGTGGTGTTCGGGGAGTGAGGTTGTTGCAGAAGGGTGGAGAGGAGCAAAGGTGGTGCTGGCTGGCTGTGTGCTGGGGGGATCTGGTGCTGCCCACACCCCAAAGGCAACTCAGACACTGTTGTGCCCTGAAACTGCACTGCGGGTTTGAGTCCTGGCTACCACACTACACAGCTGTGACCTTTCCGGGTCTTAGTGACCTGCAGCAGCCAGTTCTGCCTGAGGCACTGGGGATGTGTCTGGAGACAGCTACCCCACGGCTCCCTGCTGGCTCGATGCAGCCCTCAAACCCAGCCTGGAGGTACTGCTCATCCTCCTTGGAGCAGCCTGATGCCTCCGCCTCTGTGACATCCAAAGCCACAGTCTTCAGGCTCACAGGGGTCAGCCCGAGCAGTCGCTCTGTGAGCACGGGGACCCCAAATGCTCCTGTCTGGAGCCCTAACTTGGGGCCCTGAGGTCCTGCGTTAGGACTGTGGCCTATGACTTCCCTTTGGGCCCTAGAGCCAGGACCCGGGCCTTTGCTGGGATGACCTGAGCCCCAGGCTAGCCTTCCGATGTTGTTCTGGGCTCAACATCTTTCCTGGTCTGGGGAGCAGGCAAAGGACTCGGACTTTCTTCCAGAAGAGCCTTACCCCTGAGGCCACACCTGGAGCTTTTGCTGCCTGCCCTGGGCTAAAGATGCATCGGGCCTCTGGCGTGGGGGTGACAGTTTTCTGGGGCCTGCCAGGGCTAACCTAGACCTCAGGACCCATCTCCTTCTTTAGCCAGCCCCTCACCCTCTGGGGCCCCCGTTCTGCTCAGGCCTCCCCTCCCCCAGCCCAAGGTCAGCAAGGATCACTATAGATCCGGCCCAGCCCTGTCGCCTCCATCATCCTGATTTTCCCGAGGTGACCAGGTGTGCACTCATCCTTGAGTGCATCCTACCGTGTGCTCCACAAGGGAGAGTCGGAGGCCCCTGCCCTGAGGACAGTGACCGCTGTCAGAGCCACGGCAGCCACTCAGTCCCTCCCCGCTGTGTCCCGGGAGCACTGGAGACAGTTTTGGAAACCTGGCAGAGAATGACAGGCCTGGGCCAGGTTCTCACAGCCATTCCCAGGCGAGCTCTCAGCCTCGTCTCCTACCCTCCTACACCCTCTGTAACAGAAGCAGCAGTACACAAAGTGGTGACCTGACGCTTTACTGCAGACACCAAGCAGAGGCCAGCAGGCACCCAGCAAATACTGTGGCCCCTCGTCAGGGAACTGTGGCAACAGCGTGAACTCTAGTGTGGACCCAGCTCCCAGGCCCTGCTGCCTGGCCACACAAGCCGCAGCACGGGGTCCCCAGGACACTGCCCAGCTGGGCGAGTGCTCGCTCAGGCCTGAAGCTCAGGAGAATAGGTGACCAAAAGATTTTCATGCCATAACCACACTGAGAGGCTGAGGTAAGGGGGTCAAAGTATGAGCCCAGCCTGGACAATTCAGTGATTTATCGAAAAGTGCCGGGGGTGAAGCCCAATGCAAAGGCCCCAGGTTCCCAAAACCAAACTAAACCCCACTTCATCTGAATGATGAAATCCACATATATGCATTCTTCTTCCTGCCTCTGCCCAGTCTGCACACCACCAGCAGTTTCTGGAGCAAATGGCAAGAGAGCCACCCCGGGGGAAGCTCTGAGAGTTCTCTCCAGCCACGGCCACTCCAGCCAGTGAGCGGGCCCACTCGGGTATAGTCTGACTCATTCTGATGTCTGGGCCAACTTTATCTGACTGCTCTTCAGACAAATTCGGGGTTGGAGGAAACATCTTGGCTGGAAATGGGGTGAGGCAGGCTGGCTGGCTGCCCAGCTGTCTGGCAAATGTTTGATGACTGACCTACAAGCCACCTTAAACTTGTCTCCATCTGTGTGGCCAGGGAGGGTGTTGACAACAGACACCACCTTTGTGCCAGGGCACACTCAGGGACCAAGGCCAGGAGTGGAGATGGTGATCCAGCACTGAGGTGTCAGCCAAAGCTTGTGTGGGATTAGGGTGAAGCTCAAAGGTGGGGTACCAACCCAGTGTGCTCCAGCCCCTGGGTTCCATCCCCAATACCAACCCAGTGTGCTCCAGCCCCTGGGTTCCATCCCCAAGGTCACAGAACACAAGCCCAGAGGAGGCTCACACCCTCCAAGGGGGCACTGCCCGAACCTCTGTGCTCTGCCAGAGGGTGGAGCAGGAGGCCCAGAGGAGCAGGCACCGAGAGGAACAAACCAGAGTTCCCAGTCCTCTCCCACCCGCCCAGCTCCTGCCCTGCAGAGGCCCTGGGAGGGGCACCCTGGGGCCCTGCCTGTGTGGGCAGGTGCAGCTGGAAAGTGCTGAGTGACCAGGGCAGACACGAGGAAAGAAAGCTGCTTCCACTACTGCGCCCCCTAGTACCCCACCACAGGGTATCCCTGGTCCCCACACTCCGCAGCCCCTACCTTCCTAGTCCTAGGAATCTGGGAGACTTCGGGCTCCCTTCCTGCAGTGTTCTGGGGCCAGCCCTAGGCTGTGCCAGCAAGTTTTGTTTTGTTAATCCAGGACCTTAATACATAGTTCAGGTAGCCTTGAACTCACAGCGTAGCCCAGCTAACCTCAAACTCAGTGACCCTCCTGCCGCCGCCTCCTCCTCCTCCTCCTCCTCCTCCTCCTCCACGGGGCTGGGACTACAGGCATGACCACCATGCCTGGCTGGGCTGGTAACCTGTACCTAATTACCTCCAGGACCTGGGGCTCCAAGAGTTCACTTAAGACCTGAAGTGTGCCAAACTGTGACCTGGGACAAGCTCTCCTCTGAAACAAGCTAGGGCTTCCCAACTGGAGAGGAAGGGGCAAGGCCACACAGGGACACCAGGTCTGCGGTCACAGTGTCCTAGGAGGGTAGGCCAGACACAGCCGTGCCAAGGGGGTGCTTCTGCTCCTGGGCTGGGGCGGGGCATGTGACAGGACTAAACCCTTCTCCGTGGTGACCTTGAGCACCCAGTGCTTCGTTAGCTTCCCGCTGCTGCTGCATCAAATCACAAACAAAGTGGCGGTCATTCTGCAGATTTATTCTGACAGCTCCGTGGACTTGCAGTGGAAATGGGTCTCACCAAGCTCAAGTCCGGGCAGGCGACAGCGTCAGTGCTTCCTGAAGTTCCCAGAGCAGCCCTTCCGTGGTTCTGGCTCCCGGAGGTGGGCAGCCTGCACTCCTCGGCTCTAGGCCTCTTCCTCGGCTTCCTGTTCCTCCCGCAGCTTCCTGCTTCCACCTGCGCACCTCCTCCCTCCTCCCTCAGCCCCGGCTTTCCTCTTACAAAGCTCCCTGTGCTCGGATCCAGCCCATCTACGTAATTCAGGGACATCTGCCACAGGATCCTGTCATATCCGTGAGCCTCTCTGTCACACAGTAAGGGTCACAGGTTCCTGGGAGGAGGACCAGGGCTCATGCCGGCCCAGCCTAAGACAGTGAGAGCCGCAAGATGGCGCCACCCTCCTGGCGCTCCTGCAGCTGGGAGGAAAGGGCTGGTGACTTCCTGCTTCCGCCTTAGCAGGGTCATTCCTAACCCTGATAAGTTCTGAGTGTCCCCAAGCCTCTTGTAACCACAGAAACTCAGTGAAGTGTCACCTTTAGCTGGGTGACAGAGCCAGGGCTGCCCCTGGACCGGGGGCGCCCTCCCTAAGCCAGCTCCGGGCAGCCAGCTCATGGCCAGGAGGAACACAGAGAAGGCCTGTGACCATGAGGCCGCTGAGCCAGCGTGTGGGTCACAGCTGAGGAGCAGCTGCAGAGGCTCGCCTGGTCCCTCCAGGCCCACAGAGAGGACAGAGACAGTGGTGGGAGTGACTCTGCAGTCATGGAGAGTACATTTCTGCTCCCCGGCATCCGAGCTAAGTGTTCCCCACAGTCTCTGATGCCGGGCTTTTCCTTCGGGCTGAGGCGCAGAGGGCAGGGCAGTGCTGACCAGCAGGGCAGGGACAGCTGCCCGCTACCTCTTCTCCATGCTCTGCATCTGCAGACTGAGGGAGGTGAAACTGGCCAGCAGGTCGGTCACTTCATCTACCTGTGGGACCAAAGTCACACTGTTTCCAGTGCCAGGACACCCAGGTCCCCCCACTACCCTTCCTCCACAGGCATGGGACACAGGTGGTGTCCCTTCTCCCAGGGGGCAGGGCTACTGCAGTTTCAGAGGACATGCGAGGAGGCGCGGCTCTTCTGGTAGCACATCCGGGTGTGCAGGTGGGGGCTGGCCTGGCCTGTGGCTTACCTGCTCCTTGGTGCTGGTCATCTGGAGGCGGCTGCAGAGGTCGTCCAGCCGCTCACGCTGCTCGTGCCGCCCCAGGCGCTCCAGGTACTCCCGCAGCATGTGGATGATCTGCAGGGAGAGGGCGCTGAGCCGCCTGGGGGCTGGCGGGATGCATGGGGGATCAGAGACACAGGGCAGCATGGCTTCTGCCTGGCACCTCTGCTCACCTGCTTCACCTCTAGCCGCACGGCCTCCAGGCACTGGGAGTGGCCCTCCTGCAGGATGTTCAGCTTGGACTTGGCCAGGTGTAGGGGCGTGCGGCCTGCTCGATCCAGGGCATCCACACGGGCTCCTGCAGGAACAGGCAGGTGAGGTGCTGGGGATGGTGGGGAGAGGAGGGGAAGGAGGGAGAGGAGGGGACAGAGGGAGAGGGAGGGGAGGGAGGGAGGGGGCCTCGTACCTCCTCGAAGCAGCGTGGTGATGACAGGGACGTGGTTGGTGCAGGCCGCTGAGAAGGAAAAACAAGGATTTAAGGATCCAGGCCCAGTGGGAGGAGGGAGCAGGGCTGTACCCCAGTGTGCGGGGGCTAGCCAAGCCTCCCGAAAGGGTGCCCCCATCACAGGGCAGCAGCTGGGAGAACACAGCAGAAAGTCTCCTTTATAGCTGGGGAAACTGAGGCCTGGAGATGGAACCTCCTCACTATAAGCCACAGTGTCAGCCAGGGGCAAGGCTGGAACGGCCGAAGGCCTCATGGCCACGGGCCCTGGCAGAGGCGCTGTGAAGCTGGTCTACTTGTGAAACCATGGTGCAGAGGGCACGGTCAACTGCAGGGTCCCTAAGTGTCCATGGGACACAGGCAGCGGGGAGTGTGGCCCAGGGCTCAGGATCTGCCCCGGCGCTGGGAGCCAGCAGGAGCCCAGGCTCCCACCTGCCAATGCTGCAGAGGGTGCTGTGACCTCCGGCACTCACCCAGGTGCAGCGGTGTGTTCCCCAGCCCGTCGCGCTGGTTGGGGTCGGCGCCGTGGTCCAGGAGCAACTGCACTGCAAACAGGAAAGCCCAGGAGGCCCCGTCAGATGCTGCCTTCTCGGGGACCCACAGCCCTGTCCGGCAGGAGGCTCGCTCAGAGTACAGATGCCGAATGCCCAGACGCGCTGTCTGCTCTGTTTCATTCACTTGCTCCCTCGTCCCTCTACAGGGCTCATGCGCAGGCCCTGGAGGCCAGCAGGAGGCTCTCTGGGCCCACACAGGTGCTATGCAACTGAGGTTGTTTTTCTTCTGTCTTTTTCTCTCTCTGTGGCACTGGGGACTGAACCTGGGGGCACTGTTACTGAGCTACCCCCCCCCCAGCCCTCTTAAAAATCTATTATTTTGGGGGCTGGGGATTTAGCTCAGCGGCATAAGCACCTGACTTACAAGCAGGCAGTTGTGAGTTCGATCCCTGGTACCGATAAAAAGTTAAAAAAAAAAAAATCTATTATTTTGAGATACTGTTTCACTAAATTATCTAGGCTGGCCTCAGACTTGAGCTCCTCCTGCCTCAGCCTCCCAAGCAGCTGGGATGATAGGAGGCTGAGGCAGGAGAATGGCAAGTAACTGAAGTATTAAAGGTTAAGGAAATTGCTAGTGAAGCCTTCCAAGGCCACTTCCTGCTCTTCCCACAGCCGAGTGCCACAGTAAGAATGAGGCCAGCAGACGAGCCCGAGCCCTGGAAAAACCTCCTCGACCATCATGGGCACGAGGGTGGGCAGTGGTACCACAAGGAGTTGCCAATTACCCTTTGGGCGCACAGGTGAGCCAATCTGGGTCCAGGACACTGAATGGGATGCTGACCCTCACATCACCCACAGCAGTTAATTCTAGAGGATTACAGACCTAAACACAAGACTGGGACAGTCAGACTTCTAGAAGAAGAACAGGAGAACCTCTTCATGACTGTGCAGAGATTTCCTACGTAGTCACAAAACCACTAACCATGTAAAAGGAAAGTCTTATACATTAAATTCATTAGAATTAGGAACTTTAATTGTTGTGAGTTTGAGTCCAGTCTAGGAAACTCAGTGAGACCCTGTCTCAGAATAAAATAAAAGGCTGGGGGGTAGCTCATAAAAAGTCCTCTTATAGAGAACAAAGGAAAGCTCAAAAGAAGTCAGGTATAATCAGTAAATGATTTGTGTCCCAAGTGTTAAAGAGTTTACAGCCTGCAGAAGGGGCATATGCCGGTATGGGATTTTTTCTGTTGCTGTTTGTCTGTATTTTGTTTCTTTGAGACAGGGTCTCACTAGGTAGTTCAGATTGGCCTTAAACTCACTGGTAGCCTAGGCTGGCCTTGAACTTGCACACGTTAGGGTTACAGGCGTGTGCCAACATGCCCAGCATGCACATACCTGTAACTCCAGCACTTGGGATAGGAGAGCTGGGAGTTCGAAGTCAGCCTGGGCTACACAACGATTCAGGGCAAGCCTGACTACATGGTGAGACCCTGTCTCAAAAAAAATGAATTCCTACAACTCAGTAAGATAGCGTGTTTAGAAAAAGGGACAAAAACAAAACCAAACAAAAAACAAAAAACACCAACTTGAACAGATACTTTGCAAAAGAGGATGCAAACATGGCCAGGAACGGAAACACATGAAGTGCTTGATCTCACAGGCCGGCAGAGCAATGCGAGTTACAGTACATGGGATGCTTCAGACCCGCTAAAACCGAAGAGAAACCCTGCTCCACACACGCAAGGGCACGGGACAGTGCATGAGCCCTGTGCACCGTTGGAGAGTGGGAGTGGACACTCAGACAAAGCGTGGCTGTACCCTGATGACCAACAGTTCCACCCCAGGCCCATACACCCCAGGGGAGCGTTTCCAGCCACCAGGCACAAGCACGAGAACACTCACAGCAGCACTGTTTGTTACTCACAAAGGCCCAAGCCGGGGCGCAACACAAAAGGCCCTCAAAAGTAGGATGGGTAAGCCAGGACGGTGGTGCACACCTCTAGTCCCAGAACTCAGGAGGCTGAGGCAGGAGGATTGCTGCGAGTTTGAGGCTAGCCTGGACTATATAGTGAGTTCAAGGCCAGCATGAACTGCACAGTGAGACCCTGCCTCAAAAAAACCAAAAAGGAAAAAACAAAAAGAAAAGTAGGAGGGCCAAATGTGAGGAATATCACAGCCACGTACATAAGGATGGACGGACTACGGACCCATGTCACACTCCTGTGAAGTATGCTGTAATTCTAACTGGCAGAGTTGCATAGCTGGGCGCAGTGGCATGCACCTGTGATGCCAGCTACTCAGGAGGCTGAGGCAGGAGAATGGCAAGTTTAGGTCCAGCCTGGGGAACTGACTGAGACCCTGCCTGAGAACAGCATAGAAGGCTGGGGGTGTAGGTCAGGGTGGAGTGCTCGCCTAGCATGCACAAGGCCCTGGGTCCTACGCCCAGGACAGAACAACAGTGAGTAAGAACCAAGGGGAGGAGCACAGACTTTGCACTTTCACTCATGTGAAACCCACAAGCAAGCATCCTGGTCCACGGGGAACAAGCTCCACAGAGAGACAGCGGCGAGGGCATCGGGAAAGCGTCCATGTTGACCCGGGTGGCTCAGGCATGCAGACACACATGGCTCACTGTCTGAAGGTGCATCACAATTTCGTTTTAAGTATTTTACTGTTTTGAGACAGGGTTGTGCTATGCAGTTCAGGCTGGCCTTGAACTCCACCCCCCATCTTCCTCCCTCCGCCTCCCAAGTGCTGGGATCACAGGTGTGCGCCACCACGCCTGGCTAGTGACCCCACAATATAACCCGACAAGTGCTGCCCTGCACTGTGCCTGGCACTGCCCGAGCGCCCAGAGGCCTGCTGCACCCTCCCAGGGCCGGCTCCCCACTGCAGGCTCCCTGGGCCTTGGGGGTCCCTCACGGTCTCCCTGCAGGCTCAGCCCCTCCTTGCCCGGCAGGCCCGCTCCTCAGGCCAAGGCCTGGGGTACCCCGGAGCAGTCTCCCTGCGCATCCCCAAGGCGGGACGCTCCGCCCGCCCTCTCAGGACTCACCAATCTGGTCGTTGCCATTGCAGGAGGCGAAGTGGAGGGCGGTGCGGCCCTTGTCATCCGCTGCGCAGGGGTCCACGCCATCGTCCAGCAGCTGCTGCACTGCCGGCACCAAGAAGGAGACAGGGCGGTGAGCAAGCGGCACACAGACACTCGGACTAGGCCCAGGCTAAGCCACATACAAAACAAAGGCCGTTGTGCCAAGAACAAGGGGAGCAGGGGCTGCGCCCGCAGGGCAAATGGGCAGAAGCCAGAGCTGCTGGGTGCCCGTAATGGACGTGAAATTTCTGCTCTGGAGTCTGCAGGCACCATAAATGGGAGGCGCTGCACATTATGTCCACAGCTAGCAGAGGGGAAAATTGCCACCAAGCGGTATTCTAGAATCAGCAATGTGTCTTTTTTTCTTTCTTTCTTTTTTTTTTTTTGTGATTCTGGGGAATGAACTCAAGACCCGACGCTTGCCAGGCAGAGCTCGTGCCCCTGAGCTAAACCCCCAGCCCCCTTTCAGTCATTTTTCTTTTTTTTTTTTTTTTTTGTCTCCACAGCCCTTCCTTCCTAAAGTATACTGAGCACAGCCAGGAGAGGTTCACCATGCAGGCCAGGAAAGGAATCCTGCACCCAGATGGCTTCCTTCATACTTTATTATTATTATTTATTTATTTACCTGGTACCGGGAATTGAACTCACAACCTCACACTTGCCCTGGGGATGGGCAGCAGCTCAGGGATCCAGGGAAGGTTTCCACAGGCGGGGGTATGTGCCACTGACCTATATCCCTGGTCCAGCCAGCCAGCCTGTTTAATTCAAGTAAAAGGAACAAAGCTGGGCTGCAAATGTGGGTTTTTCTACTTTTCTTTTTGTTTTTTGGAGACAAGGTCTCACTATACAGCCCAGGCTGGCCTTGAATTGAGGATATCTTCCTGCCTCAGTCACCTGTGGGCTGGAATTACACGTGTGCACTACCACACTTGGGGTTAAACCTGGGAGTTTTTGCTTCACAAATTACACTTCTCCTACTGAACACTGCACTTTAGTTTTTTGTCAGAGGTGGCATCGTCTTCTCCAGTTACGTTGTAGGTTTTTCCCAAGCCGTGTCCAGCAAGGCCAGCTGAGTCAGTGCTGCTGAAGTGGGGGAGGGGCTCAGGGCAGAAGACACTGAGCGAGCGAAGGAAAAGCCAGAGCTCTCATGGCGCCCCAGCATCGCCAAGACACAACAGTGCAAAACAGGCTTCCCGGTTCTGTGATTTGTGTAATTAGAGCCTTCATAGAAAGCACTTTAGCCGCCTCTCCCGGGAGCCATCAAAACACATGCACCCTGTGAGGTAGCGGTTGCATAACTGGGAGGCAAATCCTCAAGATGAACACAAGTGACACTACATAACGCTCGGTCTGTACCTTTGCAGGGCTCCAGTGTGCCCATTAAAAGTTGCGGTTATGGGGCTAAGGGTTGCTGGTCAGCAGGAGACAGCTCACCTAGCACAGGCAAGGCCTTGGTTTCAATCCCCAGCACCAAAAGGGGAAAAAAAAAGAAAAGAAAAGAAAAGAAAAGAAAAGAAAAGAAAATCATGGTTTTAATTAGGGAATGGAATGACGAAGTGATTTGTGGCTTTTTTATGAGAAGGGATCTTTTTTTTTTTTTTTTTTAAAGTTTTTTTTTTTTTTTGGCTTTTTTCGTTTTTATCGGTACCAGGGATCGAACTCACGACTGCCTACTTGCAAGGCAGGTCCTTATGCCGCTGAGCTAAATCCCCAGCCCCATGAGAAGGGATCTTACTATGTGTTCAGACCAGTCTTGACTCCCGGACTCAAGGGATCCTCACAAGCCTCCCAAATAGCTGGGACTACAGAAGTCCATCACGGGCCTTGCTTTGAATTCTGATTTTGACATTATAAGTACTAGAAGAATCATATCTCAGTCATATACTCAAATCTGTAAACAGGGAAAAATAATGACTCTATCTTGGAAAAAATGGTTCCATAGACTATAAAAAACATTCAAAACATACAAAATAGTACTATGTGGGCTACACTATGTATCTACAGCAGCTTATAAGCCCATAAAGAAAATTTTATTATTACTTTTTTATAAAGAAAAAAAAAATTTTTTTTTTTTGGTCTTTTTCGTTTTTATCGGTACCAGGGATCGAACTTACAACTGCCTGCTTGCAAGGCAGGCACTTATGCCGCTGAGCTAAATCCCCAGCCCCCAAAACTGATTTTTTTTTTTTTTTGGTCTTTTTCATTTCTATCAGTACCAGGGATCGAACTCACGACCGCACACTTGCAAGGCAGATGCTTATGCCACGAGCTAAATCCCCAGCCCCTATAAAGAAAATTTTAAAAAATTCAAAAACTAAATAAATAAAACAAAACCGAGAGATGGCAAATGGGGGAGGAGAGACTCGGCCCACTGTTTTTGGACTGAATGTGGGTGGCATCTCGGGAAGATGGGGAAATAGATTTCCCCCAGAACCTCCAAAATGAAAGCCCACCACCCTGGGGCAGGGTGGGGACACCTGGTCCTGAGACCTGTGTTGGCTTCAGGCCTAGGGCACAGGATGCACGTACTCACGTTACCGAGCTCTCGCATGTGGGGTAATCAGAGAAAGCAGCCATGGGAAAACAACACACCACCTTCCCCTGCCTCACAGGAAACAGCGAGTCAGTGGATAAAGTTACACTTTTTTGGTGCTGGAACCTGTCCTTGTCCCTTTGATACTGCCACTGACCCATCAGGAGAGTAGCAGCACAAAACCAGCCAGCGTCCTGTGAGGATCATGGCCCAGTGTCTGCAAGGCTCTGTTAAGTAAACAAGTTCTAGCCGGATGTGGTGGTGCACGCCTGTAATCCCAGCATTCAGGAGGCTGAGGCAGGAGGATCACTGCAAGGGCAGGACCAGTCTAGACTACAAAGTGAGCTCAAGGCCAGCCTGAACTTTTTGAAACCTTGTCTCAAAAAGACAAAAAAAAAAAAAAAAACCCAAACAAACAAACAAAAAAACTTCAGGAGCCCCTCAACCTGAAGCCCACGTGTCACTGAGCAGCTGGACATGGTAAATGATCACCTGGCAGTGAGTGGGGGTGTCACCCTGTTACCACCAGTGCAAAAGTGCTGCAGGTGGGGCTGGGGATTTAGCTCAGTGGCATAAGCACCTGCCTTGCAAGCAGGCGGTTGTGAGTTCAAGCCCCAGTACCGATTAAAAAAAAAGACAGTGTTGCAGGCAGCTGAGCTAGTTAGAAATATTATAGGCAGTCAGACAGGTCTGGGTCCTCTATGGAGCCAGTACAGATACCTCACAACTGTGGGGGAGACAGATACCTTCTGCTGTGGGCCAGGCCTCAAGAGAAAAGACCAAACAAATGCACCCTGTCCTGAGGACTGACACCCTAAATAGTTCCCTACCACCCTGAGGAAGCCTGGAGTCACCATGCCATCCCCCTAGGGAAGAGTCACTGCTATGTAAGAATGCCTCGCTTCCCCATTTGTCTCTAATGTAATCAATCTTACCTGAACTATTGATCTCATAGGCTAACTGTAGTTCTGTCCCACCTTATGCCCACCTGTTTTATGAGTTCTCAGTCTTCTCCCACTTGAACCCATCTTGCCCCATGATTTTGCTCTATAAAAGTCCCTGGAAAAGACAATGTCCTTGGCAACCCGTTTGGGACCCCTTCTGTGTCTCTTCTGATGGAAGCTTTCTCTCTCTCAATAAATATATTCTATTCTTATCTCCGTTGTTCCTAAAATTCACTCTTCGATTTTAGAGAACACGAACTCGCAGACATAGTAGGTCAGGAGTTTCATTCCCCTGTATCAAAAAGAGCCCCTGTTCTTTGCAGACAGTGGTGCTGGTGTCAGGGATACGAAGGCAGACGTGGTCTCTGGCATGACCAGTGAGCCCACAGCGTGAGGACTGCTGTCATCCTGGAGGCTGGGGGGCAGTGGGGAGGGAGCACAGGTGCTGAGTACCTAGGCCTGATTCACCTTCTGCAAGATGACTGCAGAGTGCGGGCCATTGCAAAGCCAGGTGTAGGGGTGCACGCCTATAATTCCAGCACTTAGCAAGCTGAGGCAGGAGGAGTGCCCTGAGTTGGAGGCCAGCCCGGATACATAGTTTAACCTCAGCCTGAACTACACAGTGAGACGCTACCTCAGAAACAAAGCGAAAGTGCTGTGACACCAGAAAGAATCAAGTTATGTGAGAGTCAGAGCAATCGCAGTGGGCTTCACGGAGCTGGGCGCGGCACTGTCTTTCCAGTGCTGCTCACCGGATCCCCACATCTGCCCCAGCCCTGCATCCGGGCCGGAGCTCGGCCCACTGCGCACACTCACCTGTTTCTACGTCGTTGGCATTAGCCGAGTCCCTCAGCCTCTTCAGAGCTGGGAAGAGAACAAGTTTTTGTGTTTTGTGAAAAATATCACCCTGATGAAACAACATGCCTGGCTCCCATGCCTTCCTCAGTCACCCACCCCTCGGGGACCACAGCACAAGGGAAACGGAGGTGCCAGGACCCAAGACAAGGAGAAACTTGAACCAGGCCACAGTTGGAACAATGGCCACTTTCTGCAGCAAATCTCATTTTTGGAGCCAGATCTTGTTTCTGCTACCTACAGTAGCTGGCGACCTCCAGAGAGAAAATTTACCATCCCTGGCCCTTGGGCATTATCTGCAAGACAAGGCTGGGTCGCTCTGCCAGCTCTCAGTTAGTGCAAAGGTAGTATGAGATGATTTACCTGAAAGTTCTTTATGAGCTAAGCTCCAAAACCCGTCATTCCCAAACGACTGTTCCCTAAATTTGGTAATTCCTAAGCAGAAAATTTTTCATCCCTCCAACAATACTCCCTCTATACTAAAGTTAATAGAAAGTAACACCTTTAGCCTGGTGTATGGAGCATGGCTATAATCCCAGCACTCTGGGAGGCTGAGGCAGGAGGATTGCAAGTTCAAGCCCAGTATGGACAATTTAGTCACTTAGTGATAACCCTGTCTTTAAAAAAAAAAAAAGACTATCGATGTAGTGTGGTGCAAAGGCTCTGGGTTCAATCCTCAGTGCCCCACTACCACAAGCAATGCCTTTGTCAGCCAGTGAATGGTTAAGAAACTGCATCTCAGATATAACTATTCCTTATATCCATATAGCACTTTACACAGCACTTTCACACTTCTTCTCTACACCACCAAGACTTGGGGTAAATCACAGCTAGTCTGAGAAGGAACCCTACAAGTTCCCCTTTTGATCTTTCAGGCCCTTAGTTTCCATGGCATCCAAAAATGTGGAAGACCACCTGGTAGCCAGACCACAGCAAGAGGCTGAGCTGTGCTCTCACAATGGCGCTGCCACCTTCCAGGTGGCCTGGGGGTAAGACAGCTTCTGAATCTTTCTTCTTCAGTAAAATGGAAACAATTTCTATAGCTCTGAGTTCTTGTGAGGGTTACAAAAGATCCTGTATCTGAGACTGGGGATCTGATCTCTAGGGCAAAGGGTTAAGAGGAAGTCAAGAGGGTCAAATAAAGGGTAATCAGTAGCCCGGGATGGTGGCACACATCTCTAATCCCAGCACAGAGGAGGCTGAGGCAGGATGCCTGGAGTTTGAGGCTAGCATGGGTTACATAGTATATTCAAGACCAGCCTAAACTACAAAAGGAGACTTTGTCTCAAAAAACACAGAACCACAACAAAAGTGAAACAGTAATCACTAGATTAGGTCACAACAATGTAGCCAGGCCTTAGCAGAACTTCTCTGTACTAAATTCTGTGCAAGCCGCATACCTACTTCTGATCACAATTTTTTTCTCACAATAATAGTCTAAGCAAACAAGCAAACAAAACGATCATGAAACATTCAACAGCACATAACAGACACATGGTAATAGCTATGCATTTAGGTTCTGCAAATGGGAAAGGGACGAGAGACAAGGCAGTAAGGAGGGAAGGAAGAAAGAATTAACATGTGTCATGTACAGATACCAGCTCTCCACAAGGAATGCAGGCATGTACTGCAAACAAGTACAGTGCTGAACATCTTTTTAAAAAAAAACAAAAAAACAAACAAACATGCATTTAGTATCTTACTTCTTCCAATATTGTCCCAAACCAAGCACTTGTACCCATTTTATAGATGGAAAACTAAGCCAAAGTCCAGACCAGGACTGCATTTTTAACAAGTTGGTACAACTACTCAGCCACAGACTCTGGCCTCCTCTCTCTCACTACTCCGTATTATTATCTAGAAATAAACACCGCAGTCATGGAAAGGCTCTACTCAGGAATTACTAAGTGAAGCAAGCCTGAAATGACTGACACCAAGCAGGAAGACTTTTTTTAAAAAATCCACGTTCCTTAGCAAGTATAAGGGTAATTTTGATCCCAGACGGGAGGCGCGAGGATCACCCTGGAGGGCCCGGACCGGTCCCCCGAGGTCGCGCGCCCAGGGTGCCGTGGCCGCTCACCGTGCACATCCTTGCCCGTGGGCCCGAGCCGGCGGTGGGGCCTGGCCGCTCGTCTCAGTCGCCCGGCGGGGATCTTGCAGCGCAGCTCGTCGCGCGGCTCGGCGTCCTGCTGCCACAGGACGTGCAGGTAGCGCAGCGGCGACTGGGCCCCTCCGGACGCCCGGCCCGAGAGGCCAGCGGCGCCACTCAACGCGGACCCGAAGTCGGCGAAGGAGAAGAGGCCCTCGGCTTCCGTCAGCCGCTCGGGCGCCACTGCGCACTCGCCGTCCGAGCTCGAGCGGCCGGAACGCGGCTCCTCGTCCGCGCCCCCGGCGGCGGCTGCCATGGCAACGTCTCCGCGTGGGCCAGGCCGCCGGAGCCTCGTTCCCGACAGACCAACGGATCCACTTTCCTTCGCTCTAAGTCAAGCAGTCAACGAGCAAGCGGGCGGGCCGGGCCTGCAACCACGGCAACAGAGCGAGGGGCGAGCTCGTGGAGCTAGCTGGAGCGTCAGGACCAATAAACGACCATTCCGGTCTGCACCCTATAACCAATCCGGAAAGGCCAAAATGATACGAGCAAAACAATTGGACAGAGTTTGCAGCAACGTGACTGACGGACACAGAAACCAATCACAAATTGATAGTTCCCATGCCCCGCCCTGTATCTCCCTACCGGAGCCAATAAACGGCTGCATTTTAAGACCTTCTTTTTCCATTTTCCCCCGTCGGATCATGGGAAAGACGATGGGCAGGTGCGTTAGCCAATCATATTAAGACGATCTGCAGCCAATCGTGGAGGAAAGTGAAGAAACCACATTCCTTGTGGCTATCGAGGCGTTTCAAATCAATGCGTAAAAAAAAATTGACTTCCCACAAACTACATAATGTAAATCGGAAAAGGAAAATATATTAAAATTTAGAGATATCTTTACGAACTATGGAGTATCAGCTTCTAAGTGTAATAGACTATCCTTCGTCAGAGTTTCTTGGTAACTGCGGCACTGATCACTGATTTACAAAAAATTAACTGATGTAGTTATATCAGAGCAACGCGTAAATCCGAGAGCCAGTGAACCAGGTGACTGAGACACGGAATCAGACTGTTGCCCCCGAGATGCTTACTATTCCCCACAGAAGTCAGACTTGGACACGTGTGTTCCCACAGAGCAGTTAAGGGTGAGCTTAAAGACAACTCTCCCAGTGCACTTCTCACGACACCAAACCCTGTAAACATTTCAATAAAGTAGACAAAGAATACCATTCCTGTTTTACAGATGAGGCGCGCCAGAGAATAAGGGACTTGTTCACAGCTGTCATCTTTCATGGGATAGTCTTCTGTACTCCACAGTTTTTCCCATTCACAATTCCTTTTGCTCAACACAATTAAATGTAATTTTTCTTTGACAGTTGGAACAGCACTTGCAGATTTTGCAGCGCTTACTGACCTCTAATGGGTGGATTATTATTACCTACATGGAGAATATACTAATGTTAATCTCAACCTTCTTCTGTCCCATCAGGACATATACCAACTCCACTTGTAGCTAGGAAAAAAAAAAAAAAAAAAAAAAAAAGGGACAAAAAGCAAATGCTAAAGAAAAAAAAAAAAAAACCATTGAATACGTATGATTTATCAAGTGCATGGTGTATCTTACATCATGTAGCTCTCATGATAAAGCCTTAGCAGGTTAATCAGGTAATTAATTTCTTTTTTTAATTTTCAGTTCTAGGGCTCAATTCTAGATCCTAATGTATACTACTGGAAAACACTTTTTTTTTTTTTTTCATCTTTTTCCTTTATATCGGTACTGGGGATTGAACTCACGACTGCTTGCTTGCAAGGCAGGCGCTTATGCCACTGAGCTAAACCTCCAGCCCTGGAAAACCCTCTTAACACTGAGCTACATTCCCAGCCCAAGGGTAGATGATATTATTATTATTATTATTATTATTACTGTTATTATTTTGGTACTGAGATTGAACTCACAACCACATGCTTGCAAGCAGGCACTTATGCTGCTGAGCTAAATCTGCAGCCCATGATGGGTAGATATTATTATGCCTTCTTTGCAGATCAGGAAATCAAAGCTCTGAGATGCTATGCAATTTGTCCAAGGGTACAAATCTAAAAAAAAAATCGAAGAACTAGGTGGCACATATCTGTAATCCTAGCTACTTATGAGCCTGAGACAGGAGCATTACAAATTCAAGGCCCACTTGTGCAATTTAGCAAGATGCTGTTTCAAAGTAAAATGGAAAAAAAGGATGAGGATATAGCTCAGTGGCACAATACTTCCTACCATGTATCGAGGTCCTGGATTCCACTAGGGGAAAAAAAGGTGAGGAGCTAGGATTTGAACCCACACCTGTCCTCTCTGTCACACCACTGTCCTAAATGAAAAATATGCTGGAAGCCTGGCTTCAGAGAATCCAAGCATCATGGGCCAATTCCACCTAACTACTGCTGATTGTCCCCTTAAATAACCAGTTATTCACTTCTCTCTTTCCCTGTTGTAACCTCCCAAGTTGTCTTCATTATTCTGGTTTCTTTTCACAGGATCCAAGATGCATACGCTGCCAGAAGCAAACTGTCTCCCCATGTCTCTAGGTGTAGCTGCCTTTGAGTTCACGTGGATTCCAATTTATTCTGGTTGTCAAGACCTTTGCAGATTTGAACCATTTACTTTCCTTAGTATTCATCTCCTTTTATTGGTGGATCTGGTCTTTGAGTCACCTGGTCTACCAAGATGTATGCATCTAAAATCTCTGAATTTGAATGTGTGGTGGCCCATGCCTACAATCCCACATGGGAGACTGAGGCAGGAGGATCACCACAAGTTTGAGGCCTGCCTGGGCTATCTAGTAAGCTGAAGACCAGCCTGGAACCTGTCTCAAAAAAAAATACAATTTAAGGTGTGGTCAAGAGACAGCCTTTTATTTCACTGGTGTTTTGTTTTGTTTTGCAGATACAGAATCTTGCTATGTATTCCAGGCTGGTATTGAACCTGCTATGCATCCCTGGCTGCTCAATCTCATCCTCCTGCTTCAGCCTGCTAAAATCTGGGCATGCACCACCACGCTGGACTTCGTTGGTCTTTTACTGTCTAATGGGCCTTGGTTTAGATTTTGATTTATGATTTTGTACCAAATGCTTCCTGAGACTGCTTCTAGTTATGATTCGTAAAGTGAAACCACAGGAAAGGGGACTTTGAGATGCTGTTCAGGACAGAGGGTGACTACAAGCTATACTCTGGTAAGCAGAACTTGAAATGAACCCAGCTGAAGGGCCCCTGCCAACTGCGGAATAAGATTAATGATCCCCTCAGTCACTGAATTTTTAGCTCAATCCCTAGGCAAAAGAAGATCAGAGAAATAGGGCAGCATTTTGGCAGCTAAATCCTCTATTCCAGGAACTTTGGTCAGCTCAGGGCTTTCTCTTTTCCCTTTGAAGTCATGTTTTTCCATTAATAAAGGAGCCCTGGAAAAATCAAACACCCTGCAGTGAAACATTTTATTATCTCTAAGGGGCGTCTCATATGCTTGGACTCAAAATTGCATTTCTAAACTGAGTGTGCTACTAAGCAAAGACTAAGTGTCCAGTACAGGTTGGGAATGGAAGCAGAAGTGCGAGGTTGCTACTGCGGCACAGGGGAGCTGATGGGGGCACAGCAGAGAACCCCAGAGATGGGGCTGGGAGCCCTGAGAGCTGGGATGAGGGTTGGAGGCAGAGCCAACAAGTTTGCAGGTGCATGGAACATGAGGGATGAGAAAGAGACAAGCGAAGGATGGCTGTGGAGGTGTCCACCTGAGGGCCTGAAAGAGCGATGCTGTGCAGAACTGAGAAAGGGGAACTGCAGGAGAATGAGGCAGAAAGTCAGAGGCTCAGTTTGGACATGTTAATACTCCATCCCCTTCCTCCCAGTTTGGGGTGGAACCCAGGACCTCTGCATGCTAGAACAGGGCTTTACCACTGAGCTGTATTCCTAGTTTTTCCTTTAATAAATTTTTAAATTAGAGAAAATTTCTTGCTAAGTCACTAAATTGTCCAGCTGGGCTCAAATTCTCAATCTCCTGCCTCAACTTTTGGAGTGCTAGGATTACAGATGTGCAGTATTATGGCTAGCTGTGCAGTCACCTTCTTAAAGTTACAAATTGCATTACAGATGGTGGCACATACCTGTAATCCCAGTACTGGGAAGGCTGAAACAGGAGGATCACCGTGAGTTTGAGGCCAGCTTGGGGTACACAGCAAAACACTGTCTCAAGAAGCCAAAAATGTATAAAAGTGTGTGTGTGTGTGTGTGTGTGTGTGTGTGTGCGTGTGTGTGCGTGCAGGTGTCTCATGTCACCAGACACAAAGGGAACTATAACAAAGATGGAATCCAAGCTGAGAGAACTACCTTAAAAGCAACTTCAGGGCTGGGGACATAGCTTAGTGGCACAGTGCCTACCTGACATGCACAAGGTCCTGAGTTCGATTCTCAGTACCAAAAAGGATAAATAAAAGCAATTTCAATGAAAACATCATTTTTCAAATTTTACAAAATCATATGACTATGTGAGCACACTACTGGGTCAAGAAAAGTCCTGGGAACCAAAGGTCCAAAAGGTTCTGCTCCATTAGTTTCATGACAGCATCACTGGAGGCTGCCTTGCAAGGGAGGCATAGGAGCAGGAGCGCACGGCTTGGGCAAGTAGTGTTGTGATCCTAAATAGGATGCTCTGGCTGGATGGCAGCAGAGCACATGAAGTAGATGGGGGGGGGTCGGGCACCGCAGACAGCTTGATTCTAGACACAGGTAACCTGGCTGTCAAAACCCAGAGCAGCCTCCATGTGCTTTGATGGGAAAAGCACGGATGTATGGGAAAAGCATGGGAGAAGATAAGGCAGTGTGGCCCAAAGAGGGTGACATGTTCCAGATCACATGGGAAATATTATTATTATTATTCCGTGCTAGGAATCAAATTCAGGACCTTTCACTTGCTAGGCAGGCACTTATGCCACTGAGCCGTATCCCTAGCCCCAGAATTTAGTATTTTTTTTCCCCTTATACCAGGGATTGAAGTAATGATCTTGTGCTTGTCAGGCAGGTCATGTGCCATTGAGCTATATCCCAAGCCAATTTTGTATTTTTGAGACAGGGTCTCATTATGCAGTTGAAGCTGACCTTGAGCTCACTTTGTAACCCAGCCTGGTCTTGAACTCACAATGATCCTCCTGCCTTAGTCCCCCTATTGCTGGAAGTACAGACATGCACCACCCCCAGCACACAGGAATTATTAAGAGCCCAAGGTCCTTGATCCTAACGAGACCCATGATTATATACCATAACCCTATGGCTTCCCCGGGATTCGAACTACCTACTGTGGCTGGCCTTGGAACTGGACCCACAACCTAAAGTCTTGCAGCCTGTGCTCTAGGTCCTGCATCACCGTTGCCCTCATCTTTGTTTGTTCTAGTTTTGGCATACAAATTCAGGGCGCAAGCTTGTAGTGCTTTTGCACCCTAAGGGACC